TAATTCGTTAAGGATGACAAGGCCTTTTGAAGATGAAATCCCTATTCAAGCACCAAGCATTATTACTGGAGATTCTCCACGTGGGCTGTAACTCCAGTAAGTGTAGCGGTGGGTCACAGCTGCAGTCGCATCAAAGACAGGGAGTGTTCAGAGACAGGGTCTCTGGCATTTAGCCCATCTCTAGATTACCGGGGAAGGCTCAGAGCTTTATTCAGATAATGAGAACAGCTGCAATGATGTTAGATAGGATTAACACATTAGAAGGGATATAAACCATTCTGCTTGGAGACATAAGGCAACCCCTGACTACTACTAGTGGGTTTTGACTGGGACTTCAGCAGTGGATGAGGTCTCCAAAACCTCCCTCTGAAGCAGCTGGTGCCGAGAAGGGAAAAATGCTTATTCTTTTGTTCCTAAAGCAGCATTCAAGCAATGATGCTCCATTTAAATCTCCCCCATTTGAGAAGCTGTGCATATTCTTCCTTATTTGGCAAAGAAAATAGCAACCGAGGCTTCTATTTCTCCATGCACCTAACAATTCAGTTTGCCCCCCTCAAAAAGCTGAGTTCTCTAATCATGAGACAGTCACCACAAAGGGAAGGGATCACCAGCACCGCTTGGCTAGACCCCAAGGAAGAAAGAAATCTCCCACCTGTGTCTTTACATTAAGCAAATGTGACAAATCCCACAACAAGCCCCCAGGGGACTTTGTTTCAAATGACACAAATTACAGGCAAAAGAGCTCACTGTATAAGGAGGCCTGACAAGATGCATCCCAGCTTCTATTAGCCAGGTCAGGACCTATGGATCTCTCGGAGAGCGCCGGGAAGCAGCAGTTAGCACGTCACCTAACTCCAGAGGACACTTTCCCCCTTGCAAACTGTAATTCTCAAGCTACAAAGCAAGTGATTGACAAGAAAGCAAATTAATGATACCGAGGAGAATGGTACCTCAAACAGAATGGGCTCAGGCAATCTGAGGGCCAGAGCTTTGCAACAGCCAAGAAAATGCAACGCTCTGCACTGAGAGCACCGGGGAGGACGTACGCAGAATACTATAGAGTTTGCTTGGCAGAAAGACTTTTTTGCATCTTTCCCTTTCCTTCACGAACACTTCTTCTGTTGACAGATGGACTGCTTTGGGGGGAGAACGACCTGATGCCTTGAAAGCCTGATGCCAAGCCTAACAAAAACAATAAGACCCCATAGATAGCACCTTGGATCCAAGACAATCTGAGGCAGTTCAAAATACAGCAAATGTGTATTGGAAATGCAAAGTCCGTTGAGGCTCGGCTCTGTGGGTACGGCAACGCAGCAAGAAAGTTCAGTAGAAGAGGAGTTCATGAATAATTTTTCCACTGAACTTAACTTCCCTTTGTTAAATGCCAATATTGTCTCCCATTCCCTCTGATCCTCGCTGTCGTGCATTTGCATTTTCACAGACTTGCATTTTGGCTTCTATTCTACCAGGAGAGCACACAAAACACTAGCGGACTCTCCCTATGCCTGAAGAAGGGTGCTTGTGCCCGACAGCTTGCAAGAACAAGTTTTCCAATGATTTAGTTGGTCTAATACAAGATATCACATCTACCCAACAAACCTTGTCTGCTGGTGTCCTTAGACCAGCGTGGTTACAACCAACCACCCTAATGGCATTCTTAGCACCATACAAAGAGTCTCTACTCTAACAAGCATCCAATTACAGTGGAGGCACAGGGCAAGGACAAACATAGTTCTGAAAGGGGAGAGGGATCTCTTGCTCCCGTAATGCTCTAACTCTTACATCACTACAGGCTCAGGCAACGTAAGTGTAGCAAAACCACTCTAGCTTTAACCTTGGTTTGTGTAGGATCAAAGTTAGGGTGATTTAGCTCACCCACAAAACTGTAAGTTTTTTAACTTTTCATACGGGAACCCAAACTGCATCTCTGCAGGCAAGTCACGGATATGGAAACCTCTGCTACATTTTTGGTGAGCTGTGCATCTGGATGGAAACTGTAAAATTCAGCAATTTTAGTCTGGAAACTAGGTTAAAATGCAGGCTGTTCAGCTGAGCTGGCACTGAGTTTTAGGAGGGTCTCGGCTGAACCTGGCTTCAAACCCTCACGTAGATGGGGGCAAACACAGACAGTTGGACTGAAGCCTCACAGACCCAAACCACCAGGGTCCTTGCAGCTCCTCTCTACTCTGTGACCCAGAGATTTAAACAGCTGGTGACTAGTCTAGTGAACATCCCCCCCGGTCAGCAGCTGGACCCCCTCCAGCCCACCGCTGCCTGGGAACATACAGCACAGAGGAGACACTGAGGGTACGCAGAGCAGTGGGAAGGAGAAGCATCTTCCAAGCCATGCAGAGAAAACATACAATCTCTCAGCTCCCTCTCCTGCAGCTGAAGCCAGCCTCAGCTGTAATAATACAGATCCATCCGCAGGAGCCAAGGGCAGTCTAAAACACATACCCCACCTACACTAGGTTAGCAAGTGAAGGACACAGATGAATGGAAAGTTCAGTATACCTTTAAAACAGGCATGCAGGCAAAAATGAACTCAGAAGGGCATTTTTAGCTCCCTGGGAAGCAGCCCTTAGGGTTTAATCCTGCCAGGTCCTGAGTAATCCTTGAAGCTTCCCCAATAAGCAATCAGGGCACTCGGCACTTAGCAGGATTGAGCGCTTCATGGGAAGGACATGGCAGCAAATATCTCTGCTTAAACCAAATAGAGTTCACAGGCCCTCAGACAACCTGCAACAAGTCAGGGAAGCACAGACGCACGGAGAGTGGACTGGCATTTCAAGTGGGTCAGTGGGAAAGAGGCCACATGATGGCTTCTTGTTCAAATGGTAGAAATCAGCTAATTCTGGGGTGGGAGCTGGTGACACCATGGAGCTCTGAGATTTCAGGTTTGATCCCCAAACTGAAAGCAACGCCCAAGACGCAGAGTCCACAGGAGTGACCGTCAACTGCCCCACACGGAAACACGCTGCTGGTTGAAATGCTTGGACAGCAGCCCCGTCTCAGGCAAAGGCCGGTCAGACATGGGTACCTTCAGACCTCAAATGAAAGATCTGCCATGTTAGGAAAGAGAAATGAAGGTGAGCAGAGATCCCAGCAAGTCCGCTGCCCCTGACAAAGCACCTTCTGTTTCTCTCTGGGGCGGAGCGTCAAGAAGAGAAACAGAGCCAGACGAGCGGGGTAAAGGAAACCCAGAGGCCTGTCTTATTGCTTCCCTCTTATCAAGTTCAGACTGGCACCTCTAATGCAGTCGCTCCTAAGGAGACTGGGAGGGAGGGAGGCAATAAACTAACTTTAAACACAAGTCACCTTTTAACATTCTTCAAGCAACAACCTTTTGACCCAAGGTTGTTAGAAAATTCCCCCCTTCTCAGTGGTTTCCCAAAGGAATCTGCAGCCAGTACCATGTGAAGACAGCTCTCCGCTCCACCCGCTGTTTGAGGAGCTTTCATTCATTCTTTGAGCCACTGACAAGTTGGATGGTTAAATAAACAGAAAGACACCTGCAGCTGACACAGTATTTATGCCTCTTTGGTTTTCTGTTGGGAGGCAGTCGCAGAGACTTTGGTAGGTTGGCCCACGTGTTAAACCTCCGTGGACTCCAATGCAGAGCATTCTGCAATCTGGGCAATTTTACCCGTGACAGGCGGCATCTCTTCATCCTAAACTAAGCTCAGACATTCCAAACATTGCTTTGGCAAGGAAGGAAAATACAAGTTTATTTAGCAGCATAGAACAGAAATGGGAAGGAATAAGGATGGAGTTTTGTATCTTATGCATGCACCTTGGACATGCGATGTTTAAAAGCCTTAATTTTGGGCATATATTATTGACAGGCCAATGGACGAACCACAGTTGGTCCAAAACATACTGAAGTCAACACAGAAACTCCGACTGTCCTCAACGGGCATTTTGTCAGGTCATTATATCGCCTAAACCTGTAGGCAGCTGTGATTTTGTAGGTGTTACTTATACGTCTACATGATGGACTGCAGAGCAGGGCAAAGACACCTGAGCCAGCTTTAAATCCACTAGCTTGGGTTCTAGCAGCAATCTAAACACAGCAGCATGAAATATAGATATGTTTAATTATCCAGCCAAGTAGGATAACTAAACCCACACTAGTGGCTCCGTGGCATGGTGGCCAGATTGTTTATGGGACCTGAGCTAGTTTAAACGACCTAGCTTGGATTACCTCTACCAGGCAATGTAGTCTGCAGTGTGCACATAACCCTTAGCCTCTCCACTGCAGTCTCTCAGATCTTTGCAGCCTCAGGGAAGAGACTCCTTTGTATGCACTGCTTTACACCTGTTGCACTGGGTCCTGAAGCAGCGGTGTGAGGCAATGAATACAATTCAAATCCATGTCCCAGATGGCAGAAAGAAGAAAGGGACTGAGGAAGTAAGAATGCATTGCAAGGGACTATTCCACGCTACATCAGAGGGTAGAGCTACCACTAGCTGCCCAAATGGTATTAGTGACTGTCTGTATCCCAGTGATCTCTGTTAAACTCCAATGGAAAGCTGTGATCAAGAGTAGTTAGTACTGACAGCTTTTTCCAACACGTACAAAATGCATCAGATTCAGCTGAAAAGGGCAGTGCAGGATTATCCCATCCTTTCCCTTTGGTAACACTGGCAATAAATAAAAGAATAAACATTTGGGAATTTTTGACCAGTAACAAAATGCCCTGTAGCTCCTCATCAATATGGGCAGCAATAAGCACCGAGAAAGCTGAGGCTGGTCTTTTAATTACCCCAGTGATTTCTGTGTACACCCCAGTACGATCTCCCCGGTCACATCACTGCAAGTTGTTCAAGCAAGCAGGAAAACCTACTTTTCCTGCACTTCACAGCACTGCTCCATCTTTCTCAGAACCAACGACACCACAAATACCCCTCAGCGTGTGTGAGTGTGTGCACACGCGTGCACAAAGGTGACTGACATTCACAGAAAGATGCCATATTTGGATGAAAGTAGAAGGACTTACCATCTTCGTGTCCCTCTCTGTTCCTCCGCCGATGTCTGTCTCGTCGGTGGCTAACAACTGATTCCGTTCCTGTTTCATTGTCCAGTCCATCTCGGCTGCTGGCAGCATTTGGGCTGTGACAGAAAAGATGGAGGAAAACAAACTGGAGTCATTCGAGACAACCCTGCCACTGCATTTAGCACCCTGGAAGGGTGCTGACTCTCTAACCCCCGGGAACAAATACATAATGCAGATACAAAGGCAACCTGCTGGAAAAAAAAGTGTCCCTGTAAAAAAGATTGTTTGCCCTTGCACTGATTTTGGCATCCCAGCATCCCCACACAGCTTGCAAAACCTCCCAATTGCGATCACGTAGGAATCAAGAGTTGGTCATAAGTTTGTCTAATAGTGACAAGCTGGGGATAGTAGTGAAGAAGCAGTATTTGGGACAGAAGCAGTAGTTAGGGCAGGCGCTCTGAAAAGAGGACAGTGACCATGAGCTAGACTCTTCTGCTCAGCTCTCCCTTGGGTATTTTACACTGGAGTCGCACTGCAGGAAACACATGCCATCTGTTTGGCCAACTCTACTGCAGCTCACCACCTTGACTGCTCATTCACCCATGGAATGGGACCCTAGCCTTGCTGACAGCAACCTGGGCTGGGCTACCAGCTGCCTGGGAGCAGAATGGCATAAAGAAGAGCTGATTGAAGATCCCTTCCTGCCACCTGTCCCTGTCCCAGCGCTAACCCTCATCTTCCACCAGTCCCTGCCTTCTCCCTGCTGGTCCTCAGGGCTAAGGAAAGAGCAGAGAGCCAGGTTGAGAGAGCAGCTTCCAAGGGTAAGGGGTCTGTGACAAAGGAGACAAGAATCCAGTTGGGGCCTACTCCAAGCAAATCCTCACCCATCCCCAGCTCTCTCTTCTGGGCCAGCTTCTTCTAGGATCCCAGTTTGCCACTTTAAGCTTTTCAACTGAGCTGCTGGGATGTAATACAGGCAAGAGGGAGGGTGAGGGGGACATTGTGGGGTGAATCTGGACAAATACCAAGTCCAATAACATGAGCAATACTGGCTCCCTATTCCTGGTCTTCAGGGGGCTGCTGCTCAGTCCTTCCAAACCAGGATGCCCGTCACACACAATTTAAATATCTGAATTGAATCAAATGACAGTTAGTTTGATAGCCAGCCACCATGGCTGTAATACGTAGCACTGTGTCTATAACCCCATTTATCTGCAACCCATCTGTTGAGACCACCACTGAGGAAAAAGAATGAACCATGACAAAGTGGGGTTGGCCAAAGCAGAGGAGAATGCTCTTTTTTCCCCTCCTGAACAGCATTAGCCCGCGCTATACACGTCTCCCTTCGGACTCCATGTGTTTTATAGCTCTCTATCAGTCTCGTGTTTCATAAATGGCATTGAAGCATTCATGGGGAAGGCAATAAGAAAAGCCTCCCAGAAGGCGCACAGCGGGCTGTAAGCTAATTTTAATGGACTGGTCTGTAGAAAGTGACCCATAGCACTTCCAAAATGCAGCCAGAATATGATCTAACATGCCTCTCAATGAGGATTTCCCTTACAGTGGGGAAGTGGGGGAGCAGTGGACACTGCTCCTGCTCTCTTCAAGCACCTACTCACCAAAGCAGCCCCAGTTCATGGACGTGCCATGCAGCTGCAGTTTGCATTATCTGCATCACAAGTTTGTCCAAGCTATGCTGATAACGCTGATGAGCTGAGACTGCACTTCTCTAGAGAAGCAGCGATTGGGGTGGCACTCTACAAGGAGCGCAGTGGCTGAATGGCGCTGTCTTTCACTCACACGTCCCCAAGGTGTTTGCACTGGAGTCTTGCTGCTGCAAAAAACACCACTAACTAGGTATTTAAAGGACTTTCATCACAAGATCGTCATCACAGTGCTCCAACTCTGACCCTTCTTCCTCCCTGCCAGCTGCTGAATGGACATCTCTGTTCCAAGGACAGATAATGGGATGATAAATTTCAGAGAGGCCACAATAAATGGAGTTAATGATATTATGGGAGTACTTTATTGATTATGTTGATTGAAAAAGGAAAACTATTGTATACCCTGACAAAGCTGAAGAGCATACATGTAACAGGTTCCCAGAGGACTTAGAAGACCATTATAAGGACATCTATTTAACATCCCCGTTATGTTTCTTCTTTTCTTTTGCATTTCTGTTTGATGTGCTATACAATGGTGAACTCGAGTAACACCATCAAATGTAACATGTCAATGTACTTAATCGCTCAACTGTACCTTCCAACTAAGACCATTACAAGCACTAATTAAGCCTCCTTGCCTCTATGGCAGAAGAAAGCATTATCTCCATTTTATATATGGGAAAGCTGATGTCAGAAGCGGTTAAGTGATGTATCCATCACAGAATCAGGAACAGTATCAAGGAGTTGGGACTCCCTGTCCACACTGTAATCGCAACATCCTTCTGACCCCACTGGATACGCCAGCCAGTCATAAATGAGCCCTGCTCAGCCCCCAGGTAGGAGGCAAAAATTCCTTTTAGATCCTGGAAGTTTGCTCTGGAGGTAAGAGATACAGTTTCCCAAATTAAATGTGGCCACCAGCTCAGCCTCTGCATTCACCAAAGAGGCTCAGAGAGTCTGTAATATTGGATACTGACTGAACTGGGAACCCTGTACCTTTTGGTTTCTCTGTTAACATATGGTGCATAAAGCCCTGGACAAGGGCTCAGGAGAGCTGGGTTCTATTCCCAACCCTCCCCATAACCCTAGAGGAGTTACTTAACTGCCCCGTGCCTCAGTGTCTCCCTCTGTGAATTGGGGATAATGTTATGCCCCCAGCTTTAAGGGGGTAAGTACTGGTAGTAACCTATAGAGGTGCCTTTTAGAGATTGTGAGAGTCCGTCCCATGGAAGTGACGAACCAGTGCCAAGGCAACCAAAACCACTGAGCTCTGCACGAGAGTGGGCATAACTTAAAGATGAGCCATGACAAGTCATACATTACTTTGGCAGGGTACTGCTGCTGAAGGCATCCCCCCACCTCCTCATACAGGCTGAGGATCCGCTGGAGATGCCCCATCATCACACTGTTACACAATCATGGGCGTGAATCACTAGAGCAAGCCAAGCACTTCCACTGGACAGCGCAGGACACAGACATCCAAGAGACCCTACCACTCTTCCTGCCACCAAGGCCAATTCTTTTAAGAGCATCAAAAAATATGCATTGCTTTCATGAGAAAAAGCCTGTGCCTAACTTGCTGTTTCTCGTAAAAACCCACACCACCAATTAAGAGTGCATCTTTACTCCAACCCAAATGGGGGATGACAGAAACCACCATTGACTTTCCTCAGTGTTGAGCTTTGGAGAGATTACACCGACAGGCTGGGGGTACCGCTTCTGAACCCTACAGTTCAGTGCAAGAGCATCCACATTGCAGCTCTCAGATGCTTTAGTCTTGAGTAACTGCTCCTGTTCTGCGCCCCCACAACCCTGCCCGTGAACCTCAGTCCTGACCAGCAGCCCTTCCTGACCTGCTGAGGAGATTCATTATGTAGCCTAACCTGACGGCTGTGTGCCTGAGACTAATAAACTCACTTTTTTGTGGCCCAGGCAGGCATGTGCTGAGCATGTTTGCAGGCAATAAGCTACACTGCACTTGCTGAACTGCACTAGCTGCATGCCCTGGCACTTGCCATTCATGAACTGAATAAAGTGAAAATATCTACTGCACCCATTATGGAATGCAGGCCCCGATTAAAAAAAACACGTGCTTGAATTCTGATCAAGCCAAAGGGGACTTCAGGCCTGTGTTTTAGTAGTGGCCCAAACAGGCCTGCATTTGTTTGGGTGAGTTAACACAGAAAGGATGGAGAAAAAAAAGAACGTGAGAGACCTGGGCGTTACTAACAGAGTAACACACTCCCTTCCTTTGTCCCTACACAATGCTGGGCATCAGGAGCTATGCTTGCAGGGCCTAGCTGGCTTTCATCAGTTAACCTCAGCAGCACCATCTAGTGACTACAGGCTGTTACCATGGATCACAGAGTGATCCAGCGCACACAAAGGCTGCAAGAAAAATCATTGCCTTGGAAGTGAAATGCTGCTCCTCTTATCTCCCATTGCTTGGCAATTCAATTAGGTTCGTTTTCCAGTAAATACTCCCTGGAGATGTATGTGAACACAAACGTGTTGTGGGGCACACAAGGGTAGGTGGAGTGTGCCAGATCCTTAATCAGTGTAAATCAGCACAGCTCCTTGAAGCAACTGGAGCTACACTGATTTAGAACAGCCGTCTCATCTGAATGACTCCGGTTCACTGTGCCAGGCTCTGAGCAAAGCCCACAGGTGGGTGCAAAGTGCAACCGAGTTACTAGGGTTATAAAGAATCAGAAGTCCTCATTCTTGAATGTATCTGACTTCATAGCACCCGCAAAGCAGTGCAGTGCTAGCAGCCCCATTTGGCAAGTGGGGAACTGAGATCCAGAAAGGCTTGGAGCCAAATCTGTAAAGGTCTTTAGGCTCCTAACTCCCCTTGGCTTTAACAGGCGTTGGGCACCTAAGGAAAAGTCTGGCCCCAGGTGCATTGCCTAAACTCACACAGAAAGGCAGAGCATAGAGCTGAACCTACATCCTCAGAGATGTAGGGTGCAATTCCAGCTGCAGGGTTGTCCTTCTTCCATTTGAAACCAAGTGAGACTGTCCAAAGCAGTATATTATTTCTGATGTGCTGACTGAGCTAAGGTGCTCATGGTGCTCAGCATTGACAACCTGATTCAAATGTAGTGAAAGGCAGGAGGAAACAAAACACCCTCTTTCAAATTCAACCAAAAACAATCAAAGAGTCAAGACAGGTCAAAAACTCAATGTTGAGTAGGCAGCTGGTTGAGATCACCATTTATCCCTCTGGCGGGTATCACTACACTGTTGCCTTGATCCTCTGCCAACCAGCCTAGCACATCCACCTTGTCTCCTGTCTTTCATAGATGTCAGGGGCTGGAAGGGACCCTGCAGATCATCAGGTCCAGTCCCCCCCACTCTAGGCAGGAATACAACTGGGGTCAAGTGACCCCAGCAAGGTAACTGTCCAGTCTGAAAACCTCCAGGGTAGGTGACTG